AACCAGCCGGACTGGACGGTGTGCAGAGAGGAGACGAAGGCCGGCAGTGAGTGCAGGGGAGGAAGGGGACGGTGTGTCCAAGGGAAGCAGGAGGCGGCGGGGTTGGCCAGTGTGTGCCGCTGCCTCCGACGCGCTGGCCACAACCTGCCAGCACCCGGCGGGAGGAGGCCAGCGGCCACACGGGCGTCAAGGGGACCGAGACCAGGCGGAGAGGCCACAGTCCTGATTCTAGGAGGCGAGAGCACTGCCCCTGGATTGTCATCAAGAAGGCACTGCCCGGCTCTAGCCGGTGTGGCTCAGTGGATAGAGCATTGGCCTGCGGACTGAAGAGTCCCGGGTTCGATTCCCGGTCAGGGCACAGGCCCGGGTTGCGGGCTTGTTCCCTAGTATGGGGCGTGCAGGAGGCAGCCGATCAATGACTCTCTCTCATCATTGATGTTTTTCTCTCTCTCTCCCTCTCTGAAATCAATAAAAATATATTTAAAAAAAGAAGAAGGCACTGCCTATGCCGTGGCTGCATTCCCCCCCCCAACCCCCACCCCGTGTTGAGCCGGGGAACCTGTGCCCTTGCTTCTGCGGCCGCTTCCCACCTGCTCCCCAGTGCTGGCCAGGTGTCCGCCTCTCAGTGAAAAGTGGACTGGGCCGAGGATCAAGTTCACGGGTTTAATCCAGAAATAGGTTCACAAGGACCTAACGGGATGCCTGACGGATGACAGCAGCACCCAGTGCCGTTCCTGATGCCTCTGGGCGGGGGGGGGGGGGGGGGGACACGTGCCTCCAGAGGCTCTCTGTGAGCCTGGGCTCGCAGTGCACCCGCCGAGATGGGGGTGCTTTAGGGGTGTTGCTGCGTTAGAACTATAACAACGACAGAATATTGTCCTTTAAAAACAGAAAACCTGCCGCCCGGCCTGGCTCAGGGGGTGAGCATCGACCTATGAACCAGGAGGTCACGGTTCGATTCCCGGTCAGGGCACAGGCCCGGGTTGCAGGCTTGATCCCCAGTAGGGGGCGTGCAGGAGGCAGCTGATCTAGGATGTTCCTCTCTCATCATTGATGTCTCTCTCTCCCTCTCCCTTCCTCTCTGACATCAATAGAAATATTTTTTTTGAATAAAGAAAAGACAAAATCAGAAAGCCCTCGGCCTTGGTCCGTGCAGAGAACAGGGACTTGGCCGCACGTGGGTCCCAGGTGGAAGGTCAGCGCGCCCCTCGGAGAAGTGCAGAGGCCCCTCCGAGCTGGACGTGCTAATAGGTGGTGGACGTGGGACCTTCCAGTTGGGCAGCTCGCCCCAACGTCAGGAAGCCGGGGAGACCGGGGCATGTGGGGCCGAGCGCCCATGATCGCACTTGTCGGCGTCTTGCCTCGGGAACACGGCCCATCAGGTCCCAGGTGGAGGCGAGCTGCGGGCCTCAGGCCAAAGGTCAGGCGGGGAGGAGCGGTCCCCTGGCTCAGACTGTTGTCCATCTGAGACTGGCTGCCTGGAGGGGGGCGCGTTTCTCGGCGAGGAAAGGGTGTGATAGCAAGCGCTGTCCTCTGCTGACGGCTGTTTTGATCTCTTGCTCAATAACAAACCGCCCCCCAAACCCAGCAGCTCAGGACAATGGCTGATTCTTCCTCCTGCCTCTGTGGGTGGCGGGCAGTTGCTCAGCTGGTCCTGGGCTCCCTCGAGCTGCCTCCAGCTGGCCAGTCAGCTGGCCGGACAGTCCCGACGGCCTGTCAGCAGCGCTGGGAGCTGGCAGTGTCACCTGTCAGCTGGGCAGCCCGGCTCTCCGCGTGGCCTCGCGTCCTCCGGTAGACCAGACAGTTGGCGGTCTCCCGGGCAGCGCCCCAGGAGCGAGAGGCAGGTGCTGAAGGTCTTTGGGGCCCACCTGGGCCCAGAACCCTCCCAGCCTCGCTTCCCGGGGGCTATCCATCAGCAGGCGCAGGGCCACCCCGACCCCTGAGGTGGTGGCAGGGGCGCTGTCCTGTTGCAGACATTCACGGCCGCTCTGAGATTTACGCTGGTGACAGCTGTGCCCGGGGCACCTGACCATCTCACTTATCACGGAACCAGCTGCACGTGGGCCTTGTGAGGCCTGGGACCAGGATCTGACGCCAGGGCTCTCTCCAGCCGAGTGGAATTTGTCCTACAAAGTCGACAGGACACAGAGACCTGCTCAGTTGTTCTCAGTCCCTCGGTCCCTCTTGCCGCTGCCTCTGGTTCGTGTGGGGAGCAGGCAGACGAGAGAGACAGAGGCGGCCGGCAGGGCGTTCCTCAGACACGTCCCTGCGTCCTGGGGCTTCTCGGACGGACGGTGTGGAGGCGAGAAGGCCTCTGACTCCGTAGGTTCTGGCTTCCTGGGCTGCTTGGCAGGCGTCCAGTGATTCCTTAAAACAAGAACAAAACACATTTGGGAAAGCCTGGCCCTGTCCAGGTTTTCCTTGATTTTGCAGTGTTGGCGGGAAGCCAGGCCTGTCCCAGCCAAGAGGCTCCTCTGTGCCCCTCCAGCGAGGACAGGGCCGTGGGCGTCGGGGAGGGTGGCCCAGAACCCCTTCCCTCCCCGGGCCCCCAGGTGACAGGTGCCCGGTCGCCGGGTCCCACTGGGCCTCAGTCCAGGGCCCTCACTCGCAGGGAGGGCGCCTCCTGAGGTGCGGGGCATTCTTAGCGACGGGCTCTCGGATCCTGCAAGCGTCCGACCCCTTCCCCATGAGCGCGTCCGGTTCTGTGAGCGCGTCCGGTTCTGTGCGTGTGACCTTCCGGTGGCTGTGGTCTCCCGGCTCCAGGCGTCTGGTCTGTCCGGCACCCAGAGGGTTTGAAAACAAAGACGCTTTTATACAAGTTTTCTGTGGGGTGAGAAGCTAGGAAGCAACATTTATCAAGTAAATAAAATGTGCAACTGTGCTGTGAGCCACGGGTGTGTGAATGCGGCCTCACTTCCCTGCCTTTGCTGTGCACTCCTGGGCTCAACAAGGACCAAACTCCCAAGGGCCTCCGTCTCCGAGTCACGAGCATCGTCTGGTTTTCCCATCTTGACGTTTCTTGCCCGACTCAGTGAATGGACAGGGTGATGGCGTCCTCCCAGGAGCCTGGCTTTCCCGGGGAATCTAACCTCCCGGGCGGGTGCTCAGCCGGCAGCACCGGGGAGCCGGCAGCTGCCGACTCGGAGGCAAAGCTGGGAGGGGGGTTTCATTCGCCGTGTCTGTCCCGCCTTCCGTGGCAGCCGGCACGTGGCTGTGGCGCTGTCCGTTTCCAATGAAGCATGTTTGCGAAGGGGACGCAACACACACCCCACACCCCAGTGAGCCGGGAGTGTCTGCGGGAAACACCAATGCCCAGTAGGACACACTCTTAATCAAAAGCAGCTTTTTAAGGAACGATGACTTCTTAATGGCGTATTTGAAAAATGGGTCAGCGAGCGAACAGTTCACGGAGTGGATAATGCCGCCTGAGTCCCGGCGTGCTTTATGGTATAACTTCGGCCAACATGCATGAGATGGATGCTCATTGTACACGCTGAATCGGAACAAAAGTACCCGCGTAGCCAGTGCCCGGCCACCCTCCAGGGCCAGGGGGAGGGCACAGACCCCCGGGCCAACCTCCCGTCTAAGGTTATTCATGTTACTCATCGGATCACAGTGAGGTTGGACATTGCAGTCTCCCCCGGTTCCTGGCTTCATTTTCTTCACTTACCTGCCCACATGGCCCCTGTTTGCTTGGATCTTAGAAAAACATTCTCCCTTTCCTGTCTCACCGAGAAAATCATAGCGATGTGTGATGTATCCACAAAACCTACTTTTATGTGTCATTGGGTTAATATTCAACTAAAAGACCACCAAGAAACTTTTAATACACAACAAACACATTTTTTTAAAAAGGTGGATGAGCAGTAACGTCAGTGAATCGCAGAGAGGATTGTAGTTTCAGCCTTTTTGCTGAGCGCACACTAGAGAGAGGAGGAGGGAGTTCATTAAGGACCCGGGGGCGGGGGGACTGATGCTGTTCCGACGCCCTGGTTGGAAGGGGACGAGGCGAGGCTGAGTTGGCTTCTGTTGATTCATTCCCTTTTCACTTTTGGGTCAGGCCTCTCTCCCGGGGGTGGGGGGGTGGGGAGGCTGGTTTGCTGGACGCAAGCAAATGCTCCCGTCTCCTTTTTTTTTTTTTTGTCTAAATGTTCCTAAGATTTTTAGGAGCCAAAATAGGTCAGCTTGATGAGACAGAAGACATACTTTGAAAGTGCTTCCTGCGTTCTTTCCCCGAACTCTCCCCTTAAAACCTGAAGCTCTTTCACGAAAACCCCTTTATTTTAGTGATGAAAAGCCACGGAGGGTTTTTGGTCCAGGGATATGTGTGATTGCAGGATTTTTTTTTTTTTTAAAGTTCAATACTAATTTAAGTAGCAACAGTGGTCTGGTTAATTTCCCAGATGGTCTTCTTCTTGTTAGGATTTATATTTTGTTTTTAATGTTGTTTGTCCTACTGTAAAATTAGTTTTGATTATGCAATTACTTTGTTGTTTTGCTATGGTAGATAATGTTGGTTCTGTTATGATTTTTGGGGGTTTGTTTCTTAGAAATCATCTAACCAACTCTCATTTTATCAACGAGGAAATTGAGGCATAGAGAAATCAGGTGATTTGTCCTAAGTTGAATTGAAAATATTACTTAAAGAATACTTTAGTGATAGCACTTGAAATTCCCTTTTAATGGTAAACCCCAAGAGTTGGATGTTTTTGCGTGTCGCCAGGTTACATTTGTCTCCTGACATGGAAAGATTGGAGGAAAAACGTTGAGCTCTTTGAGACACGGGGCTGCCCCTCTTTTATTTTAAATATAAATATAAGGTTATATGCCCGATTGCTGGCAAAGGCTTCAAATTCTTACCGTTTCTTTGTAGCCCCACACTTGCGCCAAATTAAAATAAATGGCTAAAAGGGCAGTCACACGCTTTTAAAATTAAAGCGTTAGTTCAGGTTCCCCGTGAGCTGCTGAAAGCCACTGAGAGCCCTCGCTTCCCTCCGCAGGCGGGGGAGCCATGGACGCGGGCGACACGCTGGTCCTGGGCACCGTCTTCGCCAGCCTGTGCGCCTTCCAGCTCCTCTTCCACTTCGTCAGCTACTGGTTTTCCACGAGGGTGTCTCCGGGCTTCAACAGCCTCAGCTCCGAGAAGAAGATCGAATGGAACTCAAGGTAACGCTTACGAAACGCCATGGGCTTTTCCCCGAAAGCTAGTTTTGTGAAATAAAGTTATTTAAAATAGTTCTAAAAAGCCTTTCACTTAGCCCCGGCCTGTGTGGGTCTCAGTTGGTTGAGCATCGTCCGTGCACCCACAAGGTCGCCGGTTCGATTCCCAGTCGGGGCACACGCCCAGGTTGCAGGTTTGATCCCTGGTTGGGGTGCGTGGGGGAGGCAGCCCACCGGCATTTCTCTCTCTCCCATCGATGTCTCTCTCTCTCTCCCCCTCTCCCTTCCTGTCCCTCTAAAAACCAATGAAACAATAGTCTTTCGTTTCGGATCTAAGAAAATCTAAGCTCAAAATTGTGACTGTAGGACAAAGAGAGAAGACAAGTTGCCAGCTCTCATACAAGGAACACTGAACCATTTCTGACGCCGAAAGATGGTAGGAAAACGCGTCAGCTTCCCGGGTTCGTGTGGGGGAGCTGTGCCAGCTGGCGGTGGAGAGGACGGTCTTGCATTCCTCTCTGAAACATTTACGATAACCAGCCCAAGTCCTGGCAGCGAGACGCGAGCAGCAGCAAACACGAGCCGGCCGACGGAGCCTATATATAGTCCTGGCCGCTCCGCCTCGGCAGCTGACCGCACCGCCGGCCGGGGAACAGGGTGTCTCCCTCGGTGAACTTTCGTTGCGACCCAGAGCCCTGTTGTTATATAAAGCAGTAAAAGCTGCTTTTAGGGGTTTTTTAAAACAAAAATAAGTGGAAAGTGAACAGACATGTAAGGATGTAGAAAGTTGTGTCAGTTTTATCAGTTGTGAGGTTTTGTGTGTGTCACGGAACACTTTCTGTTGTTGTTGTTTAGTTGAAGTTAACACTAACTGTAAAACAGCCAGCAGGTCTCTGAAACGGCCGCAATTATCGGCAAAAATACACGGAGAAGGTTGGTCTGGCTCATACATGCAGCTCTTCCCCCCACAGTGAGAACCCTTCCCCGGGGGCTTTTGGAGAAATGGCTGACGTGTCTTAGGGACAGCGCGGATGTTGTTCGATGGTGGGAACCAGGAGATAGTGGCCGTTTCCTTTCCAAGCTCTACTGACAGGAAGATGGAACCGTGGAGAGCTGCTAGCCCAAGAGCTAGGGAAGGGACAGGCCAGGAGAGCAGAGATGGATGAACATGTGATGCAATTGACAGCGCTTCTCGTTAGTCAGCGTTACCCTGGCCCTTCTGGGAATGGACCTCGGTTTCCTGCGGGAAAGAGGAGTCGGGATAATGATGAGGCTCAGCCTGCTGTTCAGGTGCGCGCGCTCCCTGCTCACGCTCTCGGTCAGTCCTGTCCCCACCTGAGCTGGGTTTACACGGGCTTAACGCTGAGAGGCGGAGAGTGCAGAGGAGGAGAAAAAACGGCTGTGTTTTGAGTAAAGTGCACACACGCACGTCCTGACATCCAGCGTCCCGTCTGGACGCAGACAGGTGACCACGCCCTGCCCTCCCTGCCGATCCGATCGGGATAGTCTCCGAGGAACCGGGTCTGGGCCGTCCACCGAGGGGCAGGCGGGAAAAACGCCAGGCCATGCTCGCCGGAGAGAGCGAGTTTAATTGGTGCGAGGGGCATGGCTGCACTCCGTGTGGCTTTTTCTGAAAACACGCTGAGAGCTGCCATTTCTGTCCTCGTCCATCCGCTCGGCTCCTGTGGGACAGACAGGCCTCTCGTGTCTCGTGTTCCTGATGGTAAACCGGCTTCTGCAGAGCTGAGCCCTTTTGTCTGCGCCGTACGGTCTCTTCCAACAGCATAGGGCTCGTGGGCGATCCCGTCAGTAACTCACGCTGCTGTTCTAACACGGTCACTATCTCCTTGAAAGCAGAGCGCCGTCTCCTCAACGCCATTTCTCCTCTTTCGGAAAAAATGGAAATGTCTTATCGGTGGCATTTTGGTTTTCTTTGTAGACACGGAGGAGGCTCTGTCTTGCTTTGCCTCTAAAGAGTTAACGGTGAAGTTTGACCCCCAGCAGCGTCTGAGCACCCGGACTGTGGATCCACACGCAGCGGCCCAGGCTGTTCGCGGGCCCGCCCTGCGCGGGCACTGGTCCCGGCGACGTTGAACTTTCTCGGACGTGTCTGCCAGTTCCTCCCCCGCACAGGCTGCTCAGCGGAGCCGGGAACGGGGCCTGGCCTCGGGGACAAAGTGTTACAATTTGTCTGAAAGACACTTTCTTGATGTTCGTTTTTTCCTTTTCACAGAATTTTCACACGGCGACAGAGAGCTGGCCGTGCGATTATTTTTTATTTTGGTTTTGGCTGCACGATGCTTGTTTAGATGGAGGGCTTCTCGGACGTTAGCATCTTAACCCTTTCATCCTGCTGCGTCCACGTGGAATACAGGGGCGCAGGGCACCAGTCCCCAGACGGGCTGGGCTGGTGGTTCTCACTTCAAAATGCCCCTTTGGCATTCCTCACACAGGCTTCCTGGTCGCTGTCTTACGTGGGTGTGACTCTTGGAGCACTGGGCGTGCGATTGGGTTTCACGTGGCGTATCTGTTCAGGACCACGTTCTCTGCCGGGTCTGGTACACTGGTTTCTCAGGTGACAATCATCTTTTCTAACATCGAGGTGTATGTCGGTCGGTCTGTCTCACTCACCTTCACAGATGTGGGGCCGGGTAGAGAGAAAGCCATTGGCCCCCGTTAACTTCTAAAGAGAAGACTGTGCTGTTCCTTCCGTCCTTTATTCTGACGGAGAATAAAACAATCGTTACTTCTTGTTCGCACGCCCTGGGGCGTGGCTGTGGGTTGAGTCGCTCCATTCTCAGCGAGACTCACTCCTAGACACTGAGTTTTCCATCCGGACCTGGTTCCTTCCATCGGGGGAGACCTGGAGCTGTGAGCTCTCACGTGGGCGTTCGTTTCCTTCAGAAACAGGTTTTCTGTGTAAGTTCTCGGGGCCGGTTTTCTGTCCACAAGCACTTTCGTATCGGTGACAGGTTCCCACAGACACGGCCCAGGAATCTGAAGTGTCCCTGGGGCCGTGCGAATTCCGATTCAGGATCCGCATTGTTGCCAGTGGACTTGGAGTCATTCCAGCTGTTGGGGCAGGAAGGAGTCCGGAACCGGGACACGCAGGGCGGGCAGCCCCCCCCGGCACTGGGGGCACCACCCCCTCGGCACTGGGGGCACCCGGCTCCGCTCCTGCGTCAGAGCCTCCCCAGCAGGTGACTCGAGAATGTCCAGGAGGAGACTGTGAATCAGGCCAAGCTGGTCCCGATGCCTCTTCGCCCGCATCCACGTGCTGCCAGCCTCGCGCCGATGCCGCCGTGGGACGGGCTCCTCACGTGGTCCTTTCCTTCCGTTTCAGGGTGGTCTCCACCTGCCATTCCATGGTGGTCGGGGTTCTGAGCCTGTCCGTGTCCTTGTTCGACGAGGCCGCCATGGCGGACCCACTCTGGTAAGCACTCCTCCCACCGCGGTGCCCTGGTTTGGGGTTGACGGTCAGTGGGCGTCGCTGACGCTGTGACACGGAAAGCACCTCGCTGGCTGGGCTCGGTCTGGCTTCAGCAAGAGGGGAGTTGGCTTGTGCGTCGCCGGCTCTCCCCACGGAGGGCGGAGAGCGTGCTGAGCGGTGCGGTCTGCGCCCGGAGCCACTGCGCTGAGCAGCCGCGAGTCGATTCTGAGGCAGGACAGTCCTCAGAGTGCCGCCCGATGGTGACGTGCCCGGCGCTGACGGCCATTGGCAGGCGGCTCCCCTGGGATGCACGTCCCTCCCGTGCTCCCTGGCGTCCGAGCAGGAGCTGAGCTCCGTGCAGGGTGAGGGCGGAGGCGTGTTCTGAGCGAGCACTGCACGGGCTGCGGCAACTGGGGCAGCTCCTTCGACTTCCCTCTCGCTGGGTTTTTGTTTTTCATTTTGTTAATCCTCAGCCGAGGGTCTGTCCCCATTGATTTTGAGAGAGAGTGGAAGGAAGGGGGGCGGGGGGAGAAACATCGATGAGAGAGACACATGGATTGGTTGCCTCCTGCACCTGCCCCGACCAGGGCCCGGGACTGAACCTGTAACCAGGTCCGTGCCCAGGACCCTGTGGTGTGCGGGTCACCCAGCACTCTAACCACTGAGCACACCAGCCAGGGCTCGGCTTTTAAAAAACTTCATCGATACGAAATGACGCCCATCAGAGTCACCCCACCACCCACACTTTCCCTGGAAGGTGTTCTCGGACGCAAATCCTTTTAGTGAATCAGTTCGCTGACCAGGTTCCCGTGGAATCTGCCGCAACAATGCCCAGTGCTTTTTCTTTTCGTATTTTTTATTTTATAAACACGCTTGTCCACAGCACCAGGCCCTTGGGAAGTGAATCTCATAACAAAGAATCGATTCATGACCAGCTTTTGTCCTCATCAGACTTCCGCCGTCATGACGGCTGGCGCGTCTGCGTTTTCTTCGACGCTGCCACGCGCCCGGCCAGGCTTCCCTGGGTCCTGTGTGCGGCCGGACGTCGGCGCTGCCCAGCCTTCCCCACGCTGGCTTCGCAGTTCCTCACTCCGCTGTGTGCATGTCCCCATTCACGTTACAAACCAGAGGGCGGAGGGCTGGCCACTGGTGCTTGCTGATGGGAGCGAGGAGCATGAACGGGGCGGGTAGGGTCTCGCTAGGAGGAGGGCCCGTCCTGTTCCCACCAGGAGCTGACGGGGCCACCTCCGGTCGGCGGGCGAGACCATTTCCTGAGGTTGTCCGAGTCTCTGATTCACAATAAGGACCCAGACATCATAATGAGCGCCCGAGTCCCATTCGAACCCTTTCTCAAACGACTTGCACGAGGACACACGTATGAAAAGCTGTCTTTTGGTAAAACGATTTCCCTGAAACGGAGCTGATCGGAGGAGAAATCATGACTGCTCGTGCAGGCAGGGGCGTCATCGGCTAACACGGTGCTTTGTGCAGAGGAAGTTACCGGTCGAGACTGTGGGGGCACCTTGACCGTGTTTCTGTCCCAGGAGGAAGAAGCCGTGTCGTCTAGCCCGTGCGCTAAAAAGGAACTTTCTTCCAAAACTGTCTTAGGGGCGACTCGCTGCTGGCGAAAGTGAACGTGGCTATTGCTTCCGGCTACCTCGTCTC